GTAATTTGGTCCTACATAGACCCTCTAAATGGCTTGGAGTAGGGTTTGACTTTATACAATACTTTAGAACTTCAAATGGTGAGCTTCATCCCCTTCCTAGCCATCATATAGATACTGGAATGGGTCTTGAACGCCTCGCATCGGTTATGCAGGATGTTCCCTCCAACTTTGATATCGATGCTTTTGAACCTATAATGAGGCGTATCTCCACGGTTAGTGCATATAGAATTGTTCTAAATTGATTGCCCAAAACACCCTTTACACAGATCTCCAAAAGGGGAGTCTATAAAGGCAGAGTGGGCCATGAGGACGTAGATGGTCGTGATGCATCATATCGTATCCTCGCGGATCACATGCGGGCGGCCGTCGTCGCCTTATGTGATGGTGTTGAACCGAGTGCAGTGGATGCGGGGTATAAAGATTGCTTTCTTCCCCTTCCTATGTTCTTTCTATTTACTTATCTATGCAATCATACTCTCTTTCTTTTATCTGCTTTTACTGAATTGTGTAGACATAGCTGGATTCAAGCTTTTGCTCAGTTCTTGCATTAGAAACTATTTTTGGGGATACTTTTGTAGAAGGAGAACCTCCGCAAAAGGCGATTTGGGAACGATTGAGTTCTGCGAATCACATCTCAACTTATCTCCCGCCTAGGGGAATAAATTAATTATCTGCTCAGTAGAAATTCATTGAGAGGCTCCAGAGATATTTTATCAAGTTTTTCTCGTCGTTTAAAAGGTTGAGAAAAAATTATTCTCACTTGCTTTGCGGCATTTTCCTAAATTCCCCCTTCCCAGCATTTTCCTAAATTGCCTTGAAGCCAGTGGTAAAAGTTTATATAGCCTCCTTTCCAGATTTGTAGTTCGTAAAATGCTACGAAGATCATTTTGGCATGCTTCTGCCAAGTTAGGAGTTGATCGTTTCGCCTGCGCTGAATTAGTTCCTGTTGTTGTCGAAACTTTGGTAAGTCGTAGCTTGATTATCGTTATAATAATGATGAGTATTATTTGTATCATCATTCTTATCATTATTATTTGTTGTCATACAACATATACATGCACAATCAAGAAAAAATGAGCAACTACAGAGCATAAACACAGAAAACTAGTCTCAACATTGTATTCAACTAACAAATTAATCTTAATAGTGTTTATTGCAATAACCAGTACTTAGCATCTTATTGAACACAGAGCAAACCGAGTATATAATGGACGAACTCAACCTTTCTTGAGATGCTTTCAAAAGCAGAAACTTTAAATTTATCCAGAAGTCGGCTTATCCTGAGCTTTCTACGGCTACTGAGCGCATTGAGAAATGTATAGCCGACGAAGAACATCACTACTGGAGCATTGTTGATAGAGGAACGGAGTTATTCGAACAAATGAGATTGAATATTCCTAAGGGCACCAAGGTCTTTCCAGGTAAGACATTACACTGGGTATCGAACTTTCTTTCTTCGCCTCGATAGTCCCCTTCGATACTTAGGTGACGATGCATTTGTTCTTCACGATACTCACGGCATTCCTATTGAGATCACTGAAGATATGAGTAAGGAACATGGTTTGACAGTTGACACGAAAAAGTTCCTGGAGCTCAAGGAAGAGGCAAAAGTAAGCCGTCGACGTAAGCTTTCTATCAGCTTCGATGTTACCGATATGATTGAATAGTTCAGGCTTTGTCAAGAAGCAAAAGTGGATTCAAGAAAGCTCCTTCCCTTGATACAGGTGGTTTGAAATCTTCTGAGAAGGCCAAGTACAACTATTTTCTGGATGAGGACGGAAATTACGGTAGTTGTGATTAAAATATACACTTCAAGTTGTGTGATTTTGATTACACTGTCTTCCAGTTTTCCCTCCCGTTGCAACAAAAGTGCTCGCTTTGTTTCATGGAAGCGATCGCGTTGACTCCCTGTGTTCTGATGGCTCTCTTGTTCTAGAAGACTGCCAATTTTATGCCGAAGAAGGCGGGCAAAAGTGTGACAAGGGCTTTTTGGAAATTGAAGGAGTAAATTTGTGCAAAAATTTGATCATAGTTTCCTTAAGAAACCTTGTCTACAGAAAACGGTTTTCGAAGTTTCCTCAGTGGAGAAGGTAGATGGAGTGGCTGTTTTGCACGGAAAGGTCATGGGAAATAGCAAAATCACAGGAAATTCAGTGTTAACTCAGAAGATCGATGTGGTTCGTTTTCTTGTTTTCTTTTCGCTTTTGCTATGATAGAAATTTTGACTGTTTGGTGAGAATTCCTTCAGAATCGTCGTATGGCTTTGATGCGAGCGCACACAGCAACACATCTACTTAACTGGGCACTAAGACGCGTAGGAGCAGGACGAGGACAACGTGGTTCTTCGATTGAAGAAGACTCGCTACGTTTTGATTATGCCACCGATGATTGCGCCGGAGAGGATGATGTTGTAAGATTCTGATTTTCGAAAATGCTTTTCTAGATCCCAAGATAGTTGATGTGTTTATTTTAGGTAGAGAATGTTGAAGAATTCGTGCAATCTGTCATATCTCAAGGAAAACCCGTTATTGTAGAGGAAATGCCTATGGATAAAGCTTCAGAGCTATCGCAGCTGCAATCAGAGTTCAAGGAGGTAATAGAGAGTTCATTTTTGTTATTTGTAACCCTCTGCGTTCTTGTATTTTTGGAGATCTAAAAGATTAAATTTGGTATTGGTTGCCTGAATCGTAATTTTCATATAACTTTCTAAACGACTATCTATATAAGTACTTTCGAGCGTTATCT